GATTGCCCGGCGCCGGCGCTGGCCTCGTCGCCGCGCCGCTGGGCGACGAGGAGGCGCGCCGCGCCGCGGGGGGGGGCCTCGGCGGCATCGTACGGAGGGGGGCGGGCTAGGGGTTGGATGCTCGTGGCCGGCCAAGAGGGGAGTGATAGTTGGAGGGGGGGTGATACCGTCGAAATCGACAATAAGGACGGGTCGCCTTCCCAAGGATACGGTACCCTTGCATCCTTGCCTCCTCGCTCCATCCTCAACCCCTTTCGATCGCCACCCCCGCTCGGAAAGCTTCGACATGGGCGTCCAAGGGACTTGCACACTTACGGCGCATCCTTACTATCTTTTTTGACTGTACTATGGCCGGGGCCATGATATCTCCCAGACGTCATGGCCGCCTTTCAGTACGTCACTTGGCCCCCCCTCGTTCGTTCGCATGCCTCGGGCCATGATTTGTGCCCCCCCCCCTCTTTAGACGCCCCCCTCGTGGATTACCCCGAAATGCATTGACCCCCAGGCGCCCATTGACCGCCGATGGCGACCTGATAGCCAAGCCCGCCCAGGAACGAGCGGTTGCTCTGTCTGGGAGGGCAACGCACGGGGGGGGGACAGGGCCTCCAATTGCCCATTGATCGCCGATAAGGGCTTGATATCCTGTACCGCCCAGGAACCTGTGGTGTCGCTGTCGAGAGCGGCGGTGTATCGCCGATTCCAGCTCGATGTTTCCACCCCCCCTGAGCCGGCTCCCCTTATCGCTGCCCCTCTGGGTCAGGGGGGGGGAGGAGATGCCAGAAGAGAGAGCCGGACGAATTTGAGGGTTGGAGGGATGAGAAGGAAGAGGGGGAGGAGGAGTTTGAGGAGGAGTAGGACGGGTGGAGGAGGAGAAGGAAACCCAGGAGGAGGAAGAGAATGGAAGGGATAGGAGGAGGGATATGACAAGGAGGATCGCGAGGCTCATGAGGGTCAAGATGATTGGCTGTTCTTTAGGCCTATCGGGGCGCCTTCGTGGTCATGGCTGACGACTTCGGCTGTCGAGTAAAGGCGCCGATCGGATGTATCTTTTTGTTGCACGGGGATGTCTGCGTTTTGACGTGTTTGCCCTATTTGGTCCTCTGGAACCCTCCAGAGACTTCCTGAGACCCCTGGAGGAGGAAGGGCCCCAGAAAGACATACCGCCGTCCATCTTGGTCGATTCACAAGGGCTCTGTACTGGAGCGGCGGTCATGCCAACACGGGGTCACATAGCCCCATTGGGTCACGGGGCCAACACGGGGTCATATCAGCCCCGTTGGGCTCCCGAGAGCTCCACCAAGGGCTCCCGAGAGGGGTCACGCAACATGCCCGCCATCACGGGTGTGTGACCACCGCAAGTTGGTAACGCTACAACATGATCGCGCGGTTTGTGCCAGTGTCAGGCCCCAGCGTCGACTACACGCAAGAGTGACCTTCGCCAGAGTGACCTTTGGTGCGGGCTCATTGGGCCCCCCCCGATCGCTGAGCGCGAAGCGGTGGCATCGGCTTGCGCGCCCAGGTTTGGCCCTCCCCCGCGCCCCGCTGAAGCCGCGCACCAAAAGTCACTCTTGCCTAGGGCCACTCTTGCGTGCAGCCGACAGTGTCGGGTCCCAGCGCGCGTGGGCCTCGCCTCGTGGAGCGCGCAAGTGGTGACCTCGCCCCGCCCGCCGCCTCGAGCGAGTCGCCCCGAGGCACCCCAGACATCCGGCGTTCCCCGAGTTGTTCGAGGCCCGGGCCCCCAGGAACAGGTTTTCCTCCCGAGTCGGTTTTTTCATCGGGGAAGAAACGAGGACGACGACGAAATGGGTACGGAAAGAATGGGCACGAAGTCCGACAGCATCTCCTCATCATTTTGCATAGAACTCGCCGTCGGCGTCGCCGCGGGCGTTCCCACTTTCAGACAGAAAGCCGCCTGTCCAAGTGCTGGCGGTGTTGGGCAACATTTGCTGTTGGGCAGTATGCCCATGTTGACCGTGCCCAGTTCGGCCGCACAAATTTGACGGCCCCGAGAGCCGGGACGGGTCCCGAGGGGCCGAAGACGACGAAACATGAGTCCGTCTCGATTTTTCGGAGACGCCGGATGTCTGTGACCAAAAGCGTTCAGCAATGTCCGAAGCCGAGACGATCGCCGAGAACGCCGCCGACGCCGAGGACGACCGCCGCCCAGGGCCGTGCGGGCGCGAGGACGACGACGAGCACGACGCCAGAAACGACGACGAGGAGGAGGACCTGGGCGTCTCGTAATGGGGGGGCAGCGAGGGCCGCAGAGAAGGAGCCCTTTAGGGCTTTAGGGCCCCATAAGAGGCCCTTTAGGGCCCACAGGGGGCTTGCGGGGCCCGAACAGTGCATCTTTCTTCCCCTCTCCATTTATCGCCCCCCCTTGAGCGACGCCCGAGTGAGGAGGACGAGCAGGTGGAGGAGAAGGAGGAGGAGGAGGAGGAGGACGACGACGACGACGCCGACGACGACGACGACGACCGCCGCCCAGGGCCGCGCGGGTGCCAAGACGACGAGGAGGAGGACTGGGGCGTCGCTCAATAGGAGGCCAATAAATGAAGGGCAGCAAGGGCTACAGCAAAGGAGCCCTTCAGGGCCCCTAAAAGGGGCACTTTCAGGCCCACAGGGGGCGTGTTCAGGGTCTGAAAAGTGCACCTTTCTTCCCCCCTCCATTTCTCGTCCCCCGCTGGAGCGACGCCCGAAGGAGGAGGAGGACGACGACGACGACGCCGACGCCGACGACGACGACGACCGCCGCCCAGGGCCGTGTGGGCGCCGGTACTGGCGACGACGCGGCTGGTGCCCAGGGCGCGCCTGGCGGGTCGGCGCCGTGGGGCGGTGGCGCCCAGGCGCGGGTGTCTGGGGCGGAAAGGATGGTCGCTTCGTTGTTCCCAGCCCTCCTCCTCCTCATCCTGCTGCTCCTCCCTCCCCAGAGATCCAACGCTCCAGAAAACAAATGGAGCGGGCGGTCTTTGCCGGTTTTCGGCCTTCGGGGGCCCTCGCCGGGCCTCGGCGCCGTCCAATAACGGCCCGGGACGAGAAACCGACCCCAGGGATGTGGTCTGGACCTCCAGGGCCCACGCATCGAAAAAATGGGAGCAGCCGGATGTCTGGGTCCTTCCTCCATCCCTCCTCCCCCTCCTGCTGCTGCCTGCTTCATCCTGTTTCTTCCTCCTCCTCCGCCTCCAGCATTCCCGAGATTGCACTTTTGGGTACGGGGGCCGAGACGAAGTCTCGCTCTGCCTTCAGTGTAATTATGCCGCTCCGGCACCGCGATGCCCTCAGCTTGTCGCGGCTCGTTTTTCTTTTGGACCTTTTCCTCTGGCTTGGCCTTGGGAGCCCCGCGGAGGACGGCACGGAGGATTGCGAAGTCTCGCGTTTCCAGGATGTTGAGGCCATGGCACCCGCTCTTCACAGTTACCACAAATCGACAAATATCGCGCCTGTCTCCTCGCACCACACATGCGAATCCGCCACGCGGTTGACAGGTGCCGCACAGCTTACGCTCCCAGCGTAGGTGTCACCAGGGCTCGCCTGCATGCTACGTCGACTCTTCCTCCTCCTGCCTACTGCCTCCTCCTCATCCGTCTGCCTCCTGGCCTCCCTGCTATTCCTCGCTCGAAGGTCGGGGAGCGAGGATCGAGTCGGGGGCACCGACAAGGGGAGGGGTATTGGCTCAAGGGGGAATGCACCGACCCACGGTCGCCCATATCCATCGCCGAGAGGCGCCTGGTAGCCCACATTGCCCAGCATCAGGCCTGTCGCCAATCTATCGGCGATGTATCGCCGATTCCAGCTCGATGCTCCCCCCCGAGCGACCCCTCCTCTTGTAGTTCCCCTTCGTCGGGTAGCGAGGGCGAGGAGTGGGAATCGATGCGCCCGAGAAGGCGAGGAATAAGGAGGAGCGAGGATCGAAGGAGGAGGTGGAGGACCAGTGGAAGCCCATGACGCATGAACGATGTTGCAATCTACCCTCCCTAGAAGTTCCCTCTTCCTCGGTCCCTACAAGCACCTAGTTCATTATTGGGAAGGCCTTACGGCCAGTGCCACCGACCCTGAAGGGGGACGACGACGACGCCGACGCTCTGGAGGGAGCCCTTCTGGGGCTCTCCTGGGAGCCTATTGGGCTCTGTTGGGGGGGGCTCTCTAGGGGGACTTCTTGGGAAGCTTTGTGCCCACCCGAGTTCCCCTTGCCCACGAGGGGACCAGACTCCTCCATGTCCCCCGATGGGGGACCTTCCAGGGGCGAGGTCACGTCACCCGATACCCCCCCTGGACCCCCCCGACGGGGACGACTCTCGCGTCGGGCGAAAGGGGGGGATTGGGAAAGGGGGGGTTACGAAATTTGCTGCATGCAGCTGGTTTCGGCCCCACTGAGGGGCCCATTCCTCGATACATAGCCGCCTCCGGCGCCGGGAGGCGCCGGGAAAATCAGCTCCAAGAGCTGATTCTCAAACCCCCCCTTTGCTATCCCCCCCTTTCGCCCGACCCGAGACTCAAACGGAACAACGTCCCACACACGCCGACAGGGTCGGCGGATTTTCATAGCGGGAAGTGGCCTATTGGAGGACAACCGTCTGAGAAGCCTCAATCGTGCCAAAACGCACCATCCTTGGGACTTCGTCGCCGGAGGTCAGCGTGACAGTTGCGTCGTGACAGTCCTGAATCGTTCCACAGTGCAGTTCTTGGGACTCCAATTCCACGAATAAACGTACCTGTTGCGTCCTGGCGATCCTGAATCATGCCAGAACATCATGACCGGGACTTCAACCATACGAACCCGTGAAATTGTTGCGAACGTGTACGGCGAATGTGCGCGGCGCTACGGCGAGAGCCACATTTTGAACACGGCACGCCCTCCATCTTTGAAGTTTTTGCGATAAACCCGATTTCACGCGATGCTAAAAAATCGAGAACCACGTGTGAACATGATCCGTTTTCCATCTTTAGAATTGTTGCTTTCCCGTGATACTTCGATGTGCCTTGCTTTACGAGTCCAGGGTGTTTGTTTTGGGCCTGGCAGGCCGCGTGAGGTGTACAAGTGAAGCGTTGCGGAACGAAGTTTTAGACTTGTTGCAAATTGCACGTGTTTAAAAAGAACATGCGCGGCACGATTGTGAAAGACACATTTTGACAGCGACCTGCCCTCCATCTTTGAAGTGGTTGTCAACTTGTGCGGCGAATGTGCGCGGCGCTATTGCGAACTGCGAGACTTTGAGAATTGATTATCCGTTCCATCGTTGTTGGATGAGCCCGTCGAGAAATAACTCGGAGATGGGTCTCGTGGGAGAGCTCAAGCTGTGGCATCGCTAGCATGAGGCAGCCAATGGGCACCAGTCAACTAGGAATTGACAGGACAAGGCGCAAAGGCCAAGATCGTTTGTGGACCGCTTGTGTTGCTAATTGATAGCGTCTTCTTGCCATGGCAGCTGTCAACATCGACCTCGTTCCATGGTTGATGCGCTCTCTGAAGATGCCGTCCTGCCACTCCTCTCTGCTGCCAGCGAGGCGGCTGGAAGCAACGTCGCCGCGTTCGCCTCTCAGCGTGGCCACGCCAGCGTGCCCACCCCGGGGCTCGCGGCGATGCAGGTCGTCGGGCACTGGCGGCAAGGGGGAGATGGTGGTGGTGCTACGGAGGGGGCGCTCGTTAAGGAAAGTGCGTAGGAGGCTGCAGACCCTGCAGGTGTCCTCATCTGATGAAGGCGGCGGTCACGTCCATGGCCAAGCCCAATTGGTGTTCCACCGGCTTCCGGACCCTGGACTCTTGATCTAGGCCGCGCCCTTCTGCCGACGCCAGCGGAGGCACGGTGAAGTCCAGCTTGCCACCCGAGGGTGGGGGCGGGTGTGAGCGGAGAGCGGCCCGCCCCGCCCGCCCCCGCTCGGGAAAGACGGGGGGGAATCGGCTACACGCAGGAGTGGCCCTTCGCCGGAGTGACCTTTGGTGCGGGCCCGGTGGGGTCCCCCCGATCGCCGAGCGCGAAGCGGTAGCGGTTGCTTGCGCCATCGTGCCCCCGTTAGTCCGCGCACCACAGGTCACTCCTGCCCAGGGTCACTCCTGCGTGTAGCCGGGAGCACTGGCACCGTGGGTGCCCGAGGAAGCCCAGGATGAGGAGGCGGAGGGCGAGGGGACCACGCGGCCGTCATTCCGCGGGGCGGAAAGAGAGCATGGGCGACCTGACCGACCCCTCGCAAAGCATCCTCTTCCGTGACGTCCCCCTGGCCTCACCCCAAGACGGATGCATGCGGCCAGAGGGAAGTTTGAAAGGCGGGGGTGACGTCACGGAAGGGGATGGTTTGCTAGGGGTCGGTGAGGCCGCGCTCGAAGAGAGAGAGAGAGAGAGGGAGAGAGCGAGAGAGAGAGAGAGAAACATGATATAGAAAACGATACAGAGAGAGAGAGAGAGAGAGAGAGAGTTGCAGCAGCTGGACTGATAGAGAGCATGTCTTGCTTGCGCTCTGCTTGAAGGCCTCATTCAGTCTGGGTCTGCAATCGAAGGGCACGCGTGCGAGCTCAGGCGCCAGGCGGCCTGGACTGATCGACAGTATCTAGTCGGATGGGTGCTGCAGCACTAAGAAAGGGATGCCTTCGAGGCCAGTGCATGGCAGACCGCCGCAGGCGCCGATTGGGTTGTTCAACGCAGTAGAGTGGGTGGTCGGCCCGCCGCAGGCGCCGACGTGGTTGAAGCAGCCTGGGGTGGGTCGCAGGGCGTGTCGTCGGCAGGTGGCACCAGGGAGCAGTGGGGGCGCACCGTGCCGGTGTCTAACTCAAACCAGCGCGGGTGGATTACTCATGGTCGCGGGTGGGTCGGGTCGCGGAGGGTTCCGCGGCTGCGTCGGGTGGGGGCCGCGAGTGGGTAACGGGTGGTTGGGCGGGTCACGGGGCAACGGCGCCACAAGAAGAATGCCAACCCGCCCCGTCGGACGCCTCTTCGGCCACGCACACAGACAATGAGAACAGGCTGATCACCTGCATTGTGATGGTTTAGTGCTTGCCTATATACGCAAACACTCACCACACATAGATGCGCGAATTGAAGTGCTGTCCGAGCCATGTCTGAACACACACACACACAATTGTACACACAGTCAGATTTGTCGGGATGACACGGATAATAAGCACCTTCCGAGTTCGGGTATCATTCACGCTGGATTGTATTTGGTTGAACGCGCATCCTATCTAGCGTGTGATGTATGGACGCGTGAGGTGCAATATCGAGCGTGGGTATGTTGGAGTACGGATCGTTCCCCCTTCCTCGCTCCTTCTTCTTACTCATTTCTCCTTCGCCCCCTCCTATCCTCACCTACCCCCTTGCCAGATATGCTGCTGCACCACCCAGCAACGCCACACGCATTTCCACAGATGGCCACACGACCTCCACATCGATTCAAGTCGGACCGCACCTAACAGAAGGTTGGCGTGTAGCTTTGCCTCAGGTTCTTAGCGTGCCTAGCGTGTTCTTAGAGTCGACGCGTAGCTCTGTTTAGCGCGCTCTTATCGTCCAGCTTCGCCTGACGTGGTTGTCGTGCACTTAAGGCGGATGTTCTGATTCCTGGAGCCCTCCTTGGGTGCACGCTATCAGTCACGCCCACTAGCAACGCTCCAACGGTATATAGTCGGAGGGGTCCAGGCTATAGATCGAAACCGCATCCGGCGAGTCACCGCCGCCCCCCCTGCCTTGTGGAAATGCCTCTGTGGTGGAATGCCGGTCGTCAGTATAGCAGTGATGAGAAGAGGAAGAGGCGAGGAGGAGGAGGAGGAAGAGAAAGAGGAAGAGGAGGAGGAGAAGGAGAAGGAGGAGGAGACGGAGAAGGATGAGGAGGAGAACGAGAAAGAGATGGATGCGGAGGGCAAGGAGAAGGAGACGGGTAAGGATGAGGAGGAGAGGAGAGGGACGAAGATCAGCGCCTGGCGGGGACACCGTGGCCTCGCACTTGCCTTGCCGATGCCAGGTCTGCGTGCGATAAGCGTGGCCGTTGATAACACGAACCGTTCGATAACATATGACAAGCCTGAATTACCGCTTTCTTACCGCTCAAGGAGGAGGATGAAGGGGGGGAAGAGAGGGTGAAGAGGAGAAGACGGAGAGGAAGTCCTCCTCCATCTCTCTCAAAAGTCGACCTGGCCTCCTGGTTTTATCCTGCTTGTTTTTTGAGGTGCATCGAGCAGTGGCTACGAATTTCAAATTACCCCAGTGCGACCCTACCTAGAAGTTGGAGCCCCTATGCTATGCTATGCTATGCTATGCTGCGCTATGCTATGCTAGGCTTGACTATGGTATGCTATGCTATGCTATGTTAATGCAGCGCTGCGCTATGCTAAGCTAAGCTAAGCTAACCCTCTAGGCAGAGCCTAGGTAGGGAATTACACCCATGCTAATGCTATGCTATGCTGGGCTATGCTATGATATGCTATGCTGCGCTGTGCTATGTTACGCTATGCTGTGCTCTGCTATGCTAAAGCTCAGCGAAGCTAAGATGAAGGTAATATAAGCTAAGATAAGCCTGAGGTAAGATGAAGCTAAGCTAAGCTAAGATGAAATAAGCTAAGCTAAGATGAGATAATCAACGCTAAGCTAAAGGGACGTAACCGGGGGAACCGCGGAGCGGATACTGGGGGAACCGCCCGGGGCGAGTTGCACTGCCCGGCCCTTTCAGCATACCGAGTAAGAACCCTTCTAGGCAGAGCCTAGGTAGGGAACAAAAGTCGACTCGATCCTCGCCGCTCGTCCTCTCCAAGAGAAGAAGGAAGAGGGCTTGCATGGTGTGGAGGTGGAGGAGCCTGGGGTAGGATAACGAGAGGAGAAGCAATAACCTCAAATGTGTCACGCAGTGTCTTTGTCGATGTGATGTCCAGGGCTTTGATAGCACTGCGCGCAAGTTACTGGCTGACACCCCCTCTCAATTGTCGGTCATCGTGGAAGTTCCGAGTCGCACCTAGACCGTGTTTCGCTCTGCTTCGACATTGAAGGGGACGATCTTGAATGGGTAAAGGCGGCGACATTGAAGTGGCGTGTCAATCACTTTGGAGGTCAATTTTGTCGAGGGCTGTAGAAGGAGCATGAGGGGGAGGAGGAGGAGGAGGAGGAGGAGGAGGAGGAGGGGGAGGAGGAGGAGGAGGGAGGAGGGTGACAGCGACAGCATGAGGAGGCGAGGAGGCGTGTAGGAGGCGGAGGAGAGGAGGGGGGGGAAGAGGGGGGGAAGGAGCAGGACCAGTGCAGCCGCAGGGCCCATCAACGGTGTTGGAGTCCAACCTCCCTTCAAGCTCCCTCGTCCTCCTCCTCCTCCTCCTCCTCCTCCTCCTCCTCCTCCGCCTCCGCCTCCTCCTCCTCTTCATAGGCTAGGCCATCGGCCCCTACAAGGGTTCATTTCCACCGAGGGAAGTGCCCCGTTGGGGGGGGGGCAACCGTGTGAGAATCCGGAAGAGTCACAAAGCACAATTCTCAGGACCTCAACGCCACGGGTCAACCAGACTGTGGCGTCCTGACGATCCTGGATCTTGCCAGGACACCGTTCCTGGGATTTCAGCAACGCGAACCAACATACCTGCTGCGCCCTGGTAACCGTTCCAAAGCACAATTCCTGGCACGTTAACCAGTGCAACCCGTGCACATGTTTAAAGCGAATGCGCGCGGCGTTCAGGAGAGAGCCACATGTTGGAAACATGTGCATTCTTGAAACAGCTTTCGCATTTCTAAAATCCAATGTGCAAGACGCTTGTGCGAGAGCCAAACTTTGAAAAGGAACTGCCCTCAATCCGTGAAGCTCTCTTAATTGTTGAAAGGCGAATGTGTGCGCGGCGCTAATGCGAGAGCCACAGTTTGAAAATCACCTGCCTTCAACCCGTGGAACTCTTTCAAATATCTGAAACGAATGTGCGCGGCGCTAAGGCCCATGGCTGGTATCCACATTGTGAAGGCCCTACGGCCGGCGCCGTCGACCCAGAATGACGACGACGACGACGACGACCACGACCACGACCACGACCACGACCACGACGACGACCACGACGACAACGACAACGACGAGCTGATGACACCACAGGCTCGGGACATGGGGCGGGCGGTGGAGGGAGAAGGCGGAGGAGGATCCAAGTTCTACCATGGAGTCTGTTAACGCGAGAGGAGTTGACCAGCAGACCCCCAACGGTCTTATCCTTACCCGTATCCTCCTGCCCTCTCGGGGGGGGGGGCTCGCGGAGGGGAGGGGGGACCAGGCGTGCAGCGCCGCCCCCCGGTCCGCGGCGACCGTGCTCGGCGGCGCCGCCAGCGGCAGCGTGGAGCTCCCGCGGGGCGACGCGGCCGACCCGAGGAGCGACGCGCGCCTCAGCGCATCGCTGAGGCCACCAGTGGGTGCGGGCAGGATTCGTATCCGTGTCCACTGTGTCTTGGGCCTTCCGGGGCCTTCTGGGAAGGGGCGCCACAGGGCAGAGGCGCAGTGGACATGGAAAACATGTGGCATCCAGGGGCCAGATGTGTATCCGGATCCATTGCGCCTCTATTTTCTGGGGAAGGGAAGCCGAAACTCCAAGCCGCAGTGGATATGAATACTAATATTGCCCGGAGTGGGGGGCGGAGGAGGGAGAAGAGACGAGAGAGGAGGAGAGCAGGAGGAGCAGGAGGAGGAATGAGAGAGGAGAGGGGAGAGGGGCATTTTCCTGACCTCCTACTCCTCCCGACGTGCTATTCATCCCTCCCATCCCGTCCCACTGCGCTGATCTTTTTTCGATCCGCGGGCGCGTGTCATAGCCGACATGGAAACCCTCTTGCCCCAGCAGAGCGCCCCAATAGCAGCAAAGTTGACCTGTGGGGCCCGTGGGGCAGGTGGGAACCGTGGACCTGTGCGATCGTTCGGACCTGTGGACTGTGCTACTTTTGTGGCCCGTGAGGCGTCTGGGCCAGGAGGGACCTGTGGGGCAGGTGGGAACTGTGTATGCGTGGGACCTGTGGCACTTGTGAGTTCTGTGCGACCTGAGGGACCTCTGTGGCCCGTGGGGCCTGTGAGATCTGCGACACCTGTGGGACCTGTGGGACCTGTACGACCTCTGCGACCTGCAAGTCCTGCGAGACCCGTGGGACCTGTGGGACTTGTGGGACGACCTTCGACACCAGTGAGCCTTGTCGGACCTGAGACCCATGGGGCATGCGAGACCTTCGGGACCTGTCGGACCCATTGGATCCTGAACAGTGGCCCACGCTGTGGCGAGACCGCCATTCTGAACGAGGGGCCCACAGCGCAGATCCGAGAATGAGGTCTACGCCGAAGCGAGAGTACCGTTCGTGAAACACTGAGCGCAGTCGGAGTGTAACCAGACATGGGGTGCACAGCTCGGCCCCATCCGGTGTGAAAACAAGCACGACGCGCATGGGGATGCAAGGTCTTCCAGACCATTCCAGGAGAGACAGGAGGTTAGCATTCATATTGAGATATTAGAGGGAGGAGGTGGGCAAGCTAGGCGCGCTCGCGCCACATCTGACATGCTATCCCTCCCTCCCATCAATTACCAGTGCTTTCCATTGCTCACAGCCAGCCTCCTGACACGGCGGGACCCCTGGCACGTTCCGACATTTGACGCGACTTCCGCCCATGTGCTGGCCCACGCGGCCGCGATCTGGGACCGCGCCCTGGGTTTAGGTTAGTAGTGGAAGGACTTGGAGGCTCCCGCTGAAAGGTTGAAGCCGAGTGTGCATGACTGGTCCCGTGCAGCTGGGCCCCTTTTGGTTGTCTGGGACTCTGCAGCGAGTCTGGTGGGACATGCGCTCGCCCCCGGTCTTTGAGGAAACGGATCGGCGCCGCTGCTCCAAGTCTCCCCTGCTAGTTTCCGCGAGGGGCTTCGAGTTGGCACTCAGACTCAGCACAGGGAGGCTCGACCGCCATGATGATTTGGCTCGAGACGCTGCGTTGCGACCTGGAGTCTTTCAGCGTTGTGTCGGTGCACCGTCTGTGAAGGTCAAGCAGACGCAGCAGGCCAGCGCAATTCGAACGATCTGGGCGGGGGGGGCGGTCTCTGGACTCGAGCATGGGCAGACGCAGCGCCACGCTGCTGGGTCTGATATCTCTAAGCTGTGCGCGGCCGAGCCCGAATATGCGCGCATGGCTTTGCAACATTTGTTTTGAGGGTAGCCTGCAGATAGTTGGGAGCAGGTGCAGTCGAGAATCTTGCTGAGAAACCTTCTCCCGAACATCTGGGCCAGCGTTTCTCGACCAGCTTGCCGGAAAGCTGGCCCAGTTTCTTGAGCACATTCGCCCATCCAGCGTGAACGACAGAAGTTTAGCCAGGCTTGTTTTAAGACATTTCTGGGAGGTTGGCCCAGATTTCTGAAATGACAATTCTCTTGATCACAGTTCCGGTTGCAGGGAGCTGGAGGGCTTCCCGAGCAGGCGGCGAGGGTTCCTGATCCTGCTCGTGACAAGGGTCTTCGGGCCAGGGCGAGTGTGGCCCGATCGCGCCGCGAGGTGCCTCGGCCTCCCAGTCCCCCTGCTGTACACGCCCGTTCTCCGGCGCACACGTTCAAGAATCTCATGCTCTGAGCGTGTTCCTTTCCCCCTCGCGTCCAAAAAACTGACGTCACTACCCCACCCACGGCCCTGCATGTTGCGCTTTGGCCCATCGGGGGCCGTGGCGCATACCACGCAAAAGCCCGAGCCGAATGTTATGTGCTAAGGCCCGTAGGGTCGTAGGCGGGGTGGTGTCGTTTTGCTGTTTGGTCCCTCTTTCCGCGCGCTCGCTCTCATCCCTCTCCAGTTGTACCCAAAGGCAGGCCTCGCGCTGTCGCTCGGCCGCCTTCGAGCGCGGCGTGTGGATCCGCGCCGTTGCGACCAAAAAAGTTCCGGACTCCCCGCACGCCCTGGCACAACAAAGAATTTCAAGCGTAACTACAGTCAACCCGCACAGGAAGGATCAACAACTTTTCAAGGTTGCCCTTGCATCCTTCTTCTTCGGCCCATCTTTGGCCGTTTTCGTTTGCCGCGCCCCGCTGGCAAAGTGTCCCTTTGCATATTTTATACGGCTTGCGTGTAAGTGGATTTTTCAGGAGGGCTCCTCCAGGAAGACACCACCGACTTGTACATGATCCTTTCGACTGCGGTTGCGGTCGATTCGGCCGTTCGGGGCGCCCACATCTGTCACAACAAGTATTGAGCTGGTTCCGGTGTTCCGACGACTGTTGGCATGCGCAAGACAACCCCCAGGGTGTGTCGTCGATGTGGTTGTGGTCGCTTGCTGTTATTGTATCGAGTTTTTTCATTCTCCCGCCCATTTCTGGGTGGACTGGCGCTCTGACCCGAGGGCTTGGAGCGGCGCCGTTTTTAGTGGGTGGATCGGACCTGCGCGCCGGCGCGTCCCAGTCTTTGGAGCGTTGTCCAGGCCGCGCGCGGCGGGCTCCCGGGACATTCGAACTGCCGAAAGCGCCGAGCGTTGGGCGGCGTTTCGGTGATGAGTGCGCTTGCTTTCTGACGGGGGAGGGCCAGCCCTTCTCGACCAGTACGAGGGCTGCTGGTGGGTACCTTCGGATCGATGCAGTGGCTACCCTTCAGAGGGGTATGGCGCCCACAGCTTGCAGGAGAACGTCCCGTGAGGGAGTTCTGGCCAGTTGTTGGTGACGACTGCGCTTGCCTCTTCTGTGTCCTGGATGCACGAGAGTGTCCCGTGAGGGAGTTCTGGCCAGCTGTCGGTGATGGTTGCGCTTGCCTTTCGTGCGTCCATACCCTAGCAGAAGCGTCCGGTAAGGGAGTTATGGATTTTTGTCGGTGATAGGTGCGCTTGCTTTCAGCTGGGCTTAGGCCGACGTCACAGTATTACAGATGGACAGAGATCAAGGGCAACACATGTGCCCAATGTTTTTTGTTGCATAGCGGTTGCCATCCTACTTGGATGCAGAAGTGACTGGTTGATGGGAATTGGCTATCTCTTGATATGGTGACAGGGGTCACCGCACAAGGTTCACGGCAACTTTGTCTCGTATCATTGAGGACGTGTCCAATGTGAAGTATCCCAGTTTTGGTGGCGTGGGGCGGCGTCTCGGGAAGTGTAAGTGCTTCTTTCCCTCGAGTCCGTCGTGCCCGCTTTGGCGGCCCCGCTGGCCCAACGGGCCATCTGGTTCCCGCATATGGCTTTCATGTAGCATGTCAGCACCTGGCGCCGCGTGTTCGCCCTGCGATCCAGTCCCTGAGTTTTGACTGGGCCCCATCGACCGAGGATGCGGCGGAATCGGCGTCTGAGCTGCAAATCCTCCTACCGGCATGTCGTACGTTGCGGATATCCTGGGCAGATTTTGGTGCAAAGATTGGACCCCGAGATTGCAGTTCCCCTGGGGCGTTGCGTGCTAGGGAGGGGGGGCGATGGATGGAGGGTGAAAACGATGCAATTCCGTGCAATTCAGGGACCCTCTAGGGAGCCTCTTGGGCCCAGAAGGGGCACGAACGGTGCACCCTCCTTCGCCCTCCCTCTCTCGCCCCACCGCCAAGCAGCGCCCAGTCCCCAGGTGCCAGCGGCATTTCACAAGCAGGCGCACGCCAAGTCCAAGACTTTTACCACTGGCGCGAGCCCCTGCCCGCCGAGCGCAAAGGCTGGAGCAGCGGCGGGAGGAGCTGCCTCCCGGGCCGCATCGGTCCCCTGCGCTGCCGCCGCAGCTGAGCGTCACCGACTCGGATCTGATCCCGACTTGCTCGCCCCAGCAGCGCCATTGCCGCCGATGTCACGCGATTGCTCTGGCACTGAGGCGCACACAGGAATGCTCGGCGCATGCCGCAAGTCCTTCCGACCCAGCCAGCGCCAGCGCTGGGCAGCCTGGAAGTTGTTTTTGCCAGCGTGGGCCCAGGCGATTCCGCGTCTCTTGCGCGGGTCCTGTCTCGAGCTGCCTGGAGAGGCCGTGCACCCCTAGGGGTCAGAGTTCGCACGGTCGAGCCGCCTTCCCCTCCGCCTCCTGGTCTCGTGGCGCCTACCAGGTAGCGGTGGGGATCGCGACAAAAGTTGCGCGAGACTTGCACCGAGAGCCGAAGTCGTCC